TAGAATATTTTATAATAGAAATCCATATTCATTCATTAATAACTCCTAACTCCATGAATATATTATATTCCTTATTATCAAACTCTAGATTTATATCCACCATACTCATGTGCAATTCCGACAGCAATGAAACAATTGCAATCGATATTGTCAGTTCGAACAAAACAGTGAAATATATTTTAGTATTAGTGCACTTTTAATATAGATTGATTTTAACTTCAAAAAAATGAAGTATAATGCAGAGATATATTCAATTGTGTCAAGTGCAAAGGTAAATATGATAACGATATATAGTAGATTATTATATGCGATCATACTTGATTAATAATTTCCCACATATTAATATTAAATTGCAAAGAGCCTATTTGATGCTCACAATTATTTCAAATTATTGAAAATAACTAAAAATATTAAGCCGAAGAATGTTTCTCATGCCAAAAGTAATTATATAATGTTAAGTGTATATTAGCCCAACAAGGCTTAAACGAAAAATTCCCAATGATCTCATAAATTTGTAAACGCTAACAATTATTATTATTATTATTATTCTATTATTATCTTACTATTTCTATTATTGTTATTATTTTATTATTCAGAAATTTTATTTATATTATTAATAATTTTATTTTATTATTATTTGCTTCTATTTATATCAAATCATATTACGATATTATTTTCATGTAAATGTTATACTTTGCACTTTTATTTATTTAAATTTATGTTATTATTTATCAATATTACTAGATGTTAATATTTAACAGTTGTAATAATTATTGAAATTAAAAAAAAAGTGTATATAATGATATACATCATATACACTTTCAAAACTTTCATTTTTGCACACTTTGGAGTCGCGAAATGATGTGATTAAGCATGTTCAATGTTTTATTTACTATATGTTGTTCATAATTTTTTTTATATTCATTTATTTATTTATATATTATTTTCATATCTCAGTCAGACAGGGGTATCTGGTATGAGAGATTATGAAACAATTTTCTTATTTATATATACATATAATTTGTCTATTTCATTATACTACAATATAATATTTACTATAATTAAAATATCTATTCAATCTTCAATTTCCTTATAATATTTCTTTATTTTTCTTTTAAATTTGTCGTCATCATTGGTCATCTTAATATCGTTTGGCAATTCATTATATATTTAAATTAACGAAAATTTTCATCTAACAAACAAGAACAAATAAAATCGGACGAACACTATATGAAGTACTATGAAACTATTCAATGGGGCTCTAGAAAGAGATCAAGAGACCGAAAAAAAAAACAAATTAATTTTTTTTTTTAATTTCAATAATAATTATTACAACTGCTAATTATTAACATCAAGTAATATTGATAAATATAATATAAATTTAAATAAATAAAAGAGCAAAGGATAAAATTACATGAAAATATATCGTATATTGATTTAATGTAAAATATAAGCAAATAATATAAAATAAGATTAATAATAATATAAATAAATTTTCAGAATAATAAAATAATACTAGAAAAATAATAAATTAGATAAAGATATTATAAAGAATTGTTATGATTGGATAAAAAAATGTACGGATGTAAATAAAAGTGTGTTTTTTTTTAATTTTTCTGCTGATTGTCGGCACATAATTATTTCTTTATTATGTTATTAAATAATTTTTAAAAAAATGCCGTGGTACTTATACAAATTTTCGTCATTTTACAATTTGACATTTATTTATTATTATTTATACGCCAATCGGCTTTATAACATTATATTTCTTTATATATTATATATTATTTCTCTACTCGATTTTATTATTTTTCCATTACTTTGTTTTCAGAATGTGACCTTCAGAAAAGCTGGAATGGGTCTTCGAATATAGAGGCGCTACGAATGGGTGTCGCCGCCCGCTGAACACCCACTCTGACCTCCCCGTCGCCCCTCTTTCTTCGAACACGACCGGGATCAATAACGGAAACTCACTGCCGGCTATATAGCATTTATACGTTATACTATACGTTCGTGATACAAGGATTTTCAAGATTTTTATTAAAATAGTAATGAATATAACTTACAAATTTACTTGTATACGGTTAAGTTTTAAAACAAATATTATTACATTTACAAAGAAACGACTTGGCCTATCGTAGCGCAAAACTAGCAAACGATAGTCCTTATCAAGATACATCGAATGGCTTTTAATTTTTGCAATCGGTCGTTTTTGAGAAAATGTCGATTTAGGCAAAAGTCTGTACACATTCACACACACACAACTTTGCCAAATTTGGTCTCATTCGATTCAGAATGGCTTGAAACGTCGAGAAAAACATAAAATCCATTTTTTTTGATAAAACATAAACTTCTCCTTGAGTAAGTTAAAAATAGGTGCAATCCGTGGACCTTTCCATATCTTCAATCTACATATTTCATTTCGAAAAAAATTAATTGAAAAATATCAATAAGTCATTATCAAGTCCTATTCTATTAAAATGCTACTTTTACTCTATACTCCATAGATAAGCTAATTGTTGATAAAGAACAAATAAATATGCTCTTTATACCCACATATTTCTATTTTAGTTATCAGGATATTTATTTAGGATCTTTATTAAATATGTAATATTAGAACAACTAAACATAAATAAAAATGATAAAGATGGTTTTGGTAAGTTTTTCTATAGAGTTACTTTATAACCATAAAATAGTCGAGCAGGATGTAGACTATGGTCATTGATTATGCAATTTTAAAAAGAATTAAATTAATTCAGAATTTAAATTGATTAAATTTAAATAAATAAAACACAAATATTATTACTACTGTAGGTGGTAGTAATGTATAATAAAGTATGAACTATTACTGATATGAAAAATATAAATGACAAGTCCAATTGTTTTTTTACAATCATGACTAGCCTGCTTGATCCCCACACTACAACGATTTTTTTTTTTTTTTATTTTCAATAATTATTACAACTGCTAAATTATTAACATCAAGTAATAATGATAAATAATAATATAAATTTAAATAAATAAAAGTGTAAAGGATAAAATTTACATGAAAATAATATCCGTAATATGATTTGATGTAAAATATAAGCAAAAAATAATAAAAATAAAATGAATAAATAATATAAATAAAATTTGTGAAGGATAAAATAATACTAGAAAAATAATAAAATATAACAAAATAACAATAATAGAAATGGTAAGGTAATAATAATAATAATAATAATAATAATAATAAAAATAATAATAATAATAATAACGAATAATGGTTTATTTTTATCATCAATAATTTTGTTAATTCAACATTGAAAAAAAATAATCCAAAATGTCAAAATCTTGCTTTATAATGTTAAATGTTGGTCAAAAAATTTCATATGTACAAAATGCATAATTGAGATGGAATTTCAATATATTCAAGATATTCTAGATGAATTTTTGGAGTCTATTTGAGAGTATATGATTCTGCAGAACATCCTTGTTATTAACACTATGAACAATGAATAGTTTGCTCTCAAATATTCTATTTCAATATTCATTTTTAAATATCAGAAACTGGTTGCGATTAGAATAAAATAAATATACTTTTATTAAGAATAAGCTTTTAAAATGTTGTATTTGAAAAGTAAACTTATTTCTAATTGGATTAATAAGGGTACTAAGTGTTAAGTATTAATTTTATGTTTTGCTATAGCAAAATAATAAATCATGTTCTGATTTCATAATAAGTGTACGAAGTACTAAGTATTAATTTTATGTTTTGCTAATAAATCATGTTCTGATTTCGTAATTCTGAACTACAATTAACAAAATTTATCATGGCAATAGCCTTATTAGAAATATGAAGTTTTGAAGAAGGGCTAAAAAAAATCCAGAAACTGCATAGATCATACATTTTCGCAATGCAGTGCAATTATATTATCAAGTTGTATCTCAAACAAATTATGTCTCTAAAGCATGATCAAGCATTTATAAATCGAAGGCATCAGGTTTGTTAACCATAGCCTTGGTCTGTAAATCCAGTTCCAACAAATTATTCTTATCAGAAATGAACGCATGATAAGAACCAAATGCAAATTTTGACATAAATTGTACATTGACATGCAAAGTGATGCAAATATTTAGTCATAAAAATATTTACGGCAAATATTCATTATCGTATTGGAATATCATGATAATAAAATTTTAAAAATAATCTGGCATTCACTCACATTAAAAAGAAGCAAAAGTTGTTAAATTAAATTCATGTGATGTATATAATTTTTTTTAAATCGAAGAAAATTTATTTTAGATTCAAGAACGCATATTAAATGCAAGCAGATTCCATAAAAAGGAAAAAAAATGAATTGAGCAAACTTCAAAATAACGCAAAAGACCATTTTATGCCAATATATCAAACATATACCACATGATGTTCTATCTTTTTTTAATTCACTTAAATAAACTATTCAAGAAGAAAAAAAATAAAGATAAAATGATATAGTTTATCCTGAAATTGTTTTATAATAACAAACATTCTTTTCAACACGTATAAATATCTTTATTGTAACAATGATTACCATCCATTAGATTCTTAACAAAGAAAACCCTGTAAAATGTTAGTAATGTACTACTTATTTTTATATAGAATTCAAATAAATTAAGTGTATCATCATATATTATTAGCAATATATTATCTATTAATAAATAAATTCGATATATCATCATAATTAATGAGGTTAAGTATAAAGATAATATAAAATAAAATAAAAGTCAGTAATGTAAAATAAAATATGATCCATACTAATATCTGCGAATTGTGCGTAATTGTGCTTAGTTTACAATGTCATGCTTAAACTTTTAACTCAAAATAAAAAAATGTAAACTATAATTTACGGTATAGAGGTAAGAGGGCTTTTGAGTATTTATTAAAACAAGTAACTTAGTAAAAATAATACATAAATAAATAGCACAGATCATCTTAAAACAAATGCATTGATACAATTGAATACCGAAATATAACTTGGCAAAATTATTGGTTCTTCAGTTGTATGATTTACACTGCTCCTGGTAAAACGTATAAGTACTTTAATTGTAAGTACTTGTCCTAAGTACACTAATTTATTCATAAAAATTGTCTGTAATAGTACTGTCAGCCATTAGAAGGTTCTTCGCAAACGCATCCAAAATATTCGTGAAAACGATACATCATGCAATCGGGATTATCCAAAAGACTCTTAGCTAATTCCGTATCCCGCTGGATGGACTTGATTAAATGTTCCATCGAATTAAACTTGGCTTCGGGTCTTATATACCCCAATATGCAAATCCTCATATGAGAACCATAAAAATCGCACGGAAAGTCATATAAGATATGAACTTCCAATGATTTTATTCTATTTTCGTATACGGATTCCAGCCTAAATTCATAACCATCTTCATCACGGGCCAAGGATCTACTTTCGCCCATCCGTAGTACACTCCTGGGCATAGATCGTCATGGATATCATCGACGACTTCTTTCGAAAAGTTGGCTGTAGGTATACCAAGCTCTCTAGATCCTCTTCCAAAGCCGGCAACAACTCGGCCACGAACAAAATAAGGCAAAATTTTTCTCATCCTTAATAAAGCTGAATCATCAGGTACATCTGTAAACTCGCCGCCAACTTCACTTACATCCAATATCGGAATAGGCTGGATAGAAGGTAATTCGTGTGATTTCAACGATCTTACAACCTTATCCTCCTCAAGCCCATTGGAGTGGGTTTGCAATATCACTGCTTTCGCTTCTTGTACCTTTTCTGTGCCAGCACTAGTTTCCGCGTTTTTCTCTTCTATATCTATTTGGAAGCCGTATTTTTTATCTCTGTTTTCCTAACTTTTATAGCAGTTAGTCCTTTGTTGTTGACTTCTGATGTATTGGCTTCTACGGTATTTACTTCCACGACTTCGACTTCTTGAGTATTGGCTTCGATTTGAACTAGATTTTTTGGAAAGGGTTGATAGTCTTCAGAACTTTCAGACGAGTTATTAAGTTTACTAGACTGATCATTAGTCATATATTGTATTTTTAGAATATTGTTGTGTGATAACACTTTGCTATGTTTGTCAGCAAGTGATTTGACCAGTTCACCTGTCAGATGTTCTCGTTTTTCTTTGGAAGCTTTTGTTATTCTAATTTTAGTTTTATTAGGCCTTTCTCTGTTTGCTAAAATGTCGTCCAAGCTAGAGTCCTTTGTTTCGGTATCATCAGATGATTCGTTTGTGACGGAGTCGTCGGAACTGCTTGTGGAAGGTGGAATTAATGTCTTATCCACCTCCCTCGAAAAAGAGGGATTCCCTTCGTCCGACGTTTTGACTTCGTTCGAATTCACAGAAGAAGTCGCTACTTCACTCGTAGCCGAAGACTTTTTTATCTGTTTACGGTCTCCGCCACCCAGATTATCATTTGCTACAGATAGCATTCGGATGTTAAAAACTTACAAAAGAATATATTTCCTTTTGATATTCGTGAACAAATTTTATTAGATCTAGATCTAGAATAATGTTACTCCTTTTGCAAGACTCTTAATGATCAATATCAATTTTATTTTGATATACTTAGTTGCAAAAACTTTAGAACACCTGTCCAGATTTTTCAATTAAGGCGACGTTAGCTTCAAGTAATATTATAATAGATGTGTCAATATTTAGAAGTTAATTTAAAGTATTAATTATAAGTATAATAATTAGGTATTATATTACTGAATAATGGTAATTCAGTCCCCAAATTCACGTAGTTTCACTGTATTAGTTGTTATCTATATTTTATAATTATATCTTTGTTCTTTGCAGAAGAAATATCAATTCAAGCGATATTATTCCTGAAATATAATTTTCAGCTTCAAATTTCAACTTCAGAGTTCAGTCAGAGGTAGACGTGGTTTATCTGATTTGCTCGCTCGTCTTGTTCTTAGCAAATTTTGTTCATCTATCGTTAAGATCCTTTTCCTCTTTGATAGTCAATCTGAATTTATCAAAACTTCGTTCTTTAACAATCTGAAAATTTGATTAAATAACTACCTCAAACTGCATTCATAATATATTCAGTGATTTATGAGTGGTATTCATAATATTATTTTCTTAAGTGAAGTTAAAAAAAGAACAAATTATGTTGTATCAAAAAAAAATTTTCTTTAATAAAATCTATGAATGAACTATATTTTTGATACATTTTTATAAATATTGTCACGATTTTTTATGTTATAACTCAAGAAAATAATATTTTAACATCGAATAATTATGATTATGATGATGTAGAAAATATTACAAATAATAATAGTGTACAGTGCTGTACAGCATAGTACTTTTTTAATTGAAAATTATACACTATGGGTAAAAAAACTAATTTTAGGCTGAATTATATATTAAGATTCAAAACTTCGAAACGACATTCCGAAATTTTTAATATCATTTATTAAAAATAAATTATTCGCAGTTAGCAACAAAGATGAAATATTTAAAATAAAAGAGAACTTGGAATATGAATATATTCAGTTGCAATATAGGCAGAAATCTCTAGAATGTGAACATTCAACTTTTTATATTTGCAATAATTGATCAGAATGTACGGCGTTCGAGATTTTATTTTTGATAAAACTTAAAATACCTATAAAGAACAAAAGTTCTTTTGTCCTTGTGTAGATTTTATGTATTTTAAATAAATTAGTTCTGCGCTTCTCTAAATTGTTCAACATTACTATTTAATATTTTGATTGATTACTTTATAAATTTTATTATATTATTGTCTCATATGATGTTTTATAGCTTTATCTAGATAAATTAGTTCTGCGCTTCTCTAAATTGTTTAACATTACTAATAATATTTTGATTGATTATTTTATAAATTTTATTATATTATTTTTTCATATCATGATTTATAGTTTTATCCACAGAAAGTGGTAGAAGTTAATATCTTAAGTATATATCTTTCTGAAACAGTTTCTCAATACAAAATTGGCCACACCCTTGCATTTGAGTAAACAATTTATTCGCGTTTATTAGGTTATTATAAAAAACCTCTCACCATTAAACCGAAATATCACTGAAAATATGCAAAAGTGGCCCTTGTTTCGAACCCACTTTTTGTCATAAGGACTTTGTGAAATGTACTAGAGATCCAAAAGAAATACTAGAGATCTTTCGACTTAAATTTTATTATTTTATAGTCGTTAATAAAATAGTTCAAATTTATTTATAATGTACGTAAATGTTATTTTCTTCGGAGAAAATACTTGCCCGAAGATCATTTAAATTTCTTTCCATATAGTATTACTGAAGAAAGTAGGTCATTTAATACACAATCATTATCATTGATCATTTAAGAAAGCGCTATACAGTGTAATTACTACATTCTAATAAAACTAAGCGAAACCATGTCGACAGACAAAATAATAAGGTCGGAATAAATATTTCTGTTAATTTTAAAAGGTAAAATATAAATGTATTAGTGTCAAAAAATTAGATACCCTTGTCAAATTATTAACAATATATTAATAATAACAGTAATAATTTTAATTAGAACATATTTCAAGAAAGTTTGATGTCTAAACTTTCTTGAATTTTATGTTGAAGTTTCTAATTTCAAAATAGAGATGGATATCACTACTGCATGATACCGGAATTATGGCAAGTCTCATTTATTATTGCGCAGCAAACTCAATTTTTTATTCGTACCTTGCTAGGTTTTGAATCAATAGTTGGGAAATACGTCAAACAATATCGCGTGCCTTTAATGATGGGTAAGAAAAGAACCGAGCTCAATTAACATATATACAATATATATATGATGTACGACATCATATAAATTTAGCTGAAGCCAAAGCAAGGTAAACAAAAATCAGAATATACGAGACAAACAAAGTCATTATTGTCAGATGTCGTGATTTTCTACAAATTGCATTAAATTGACAGCAGGATGTCAAGCAGTAGTGATATTGGCGTATATTTGGAGATATATGTAGCAATGGGTGTCCAAGTGAAAATAATCTTTATCCAGCATTTCTGCACCAATAAAAATCATACATTACAGAGAATTGATAACCATTTGGGTTTCCAGCTATAAAAAAACCAAGTCGTTCTAGAAAAGCTCATAGGACTTGTTAGGCTCTGATGGCTGTTGATATTAATATATTAACTAAATAATTAAATAGAAGATTATTATAAATAATGTAACTTTCATTATTCTTATTTTATACAAAACTCGGATTTAAAATGAAGAACATTGTCTAGTATTTCTAAGTTTTATATAAACTGAATTGCAAAGTCAAAATTATTTATTTAAAATGTAAGTAATGTTTAAAGCTTTAGCTAGAATTAGAATTAAAACCCGAATTATTTTTTGATAAAAAAGGATCATACAAATCTGTTGATCCGTTCTCTTAAAAACGGACATTTTTAGCACTTTTTATTCCATATCTCCGAAGCCGCTGGACCTGTCTTCGTCAAAAACTAATGGTTTCCACACATACGCACACACGCGCACACACACATACACACATCCTTTTTTTGTGAGGTATGTTAAAATGTTCAGAAACCTCTGAAACGTGAAGATATGCAAAAAATTTCATTTTCAATTTTTGGCCCATTACCCTACCCTACGGGAAGTTAACAAGAATTTCTTTGAAAAAATATTGTCCTAGTGCTAAAATCCATGTTATGAATTTACTCTAATGCACTAAACTATATAATATAAACATTAAATCTGTTAGACTTATAACAATATTTCACAATTTTACTAACATAACAATGTTCACAAAGTAGTAACTGTGTAATATATGTGTTGTCTGTAAAACTAGTTAGAAACAATTTTTCCACTGAATGAACTCTATAACTATAATCGAAACGTATGAATTTTAGAATACATTTTTAAAGAAATTCATGTTTTTTAATAATGTTATGTCCGACTACTAAACTCAGAAATATCAACATCAAATTCCTAACTACAAAATATTTTGTATACAATTTGTGTGTAAAATTTAGAACGAAACAACCTGGCATTTTTCAAATTTTTCTATTCTCACTCACAATCATACATACTAAAAACCCTGAATCTCGCGTTGATGAAATAAGTTTGAACAAAATTCAAACAATTGGATGAATACAGAAACATTATAAAAATACTATTTTAAAATACATTTTTGCAAAAATTCACGTTTTTTAATAATGTTATGTCCTATTATTAAATTCTTATTAGAAATATCAACATCACATTCCTAGCTATACAATATTTTGTATACAATTTTTGTGTAAAATTTGGAAAGAAACAACCTGCCATTTTTCAAATTTTTCTATTCTCACTCACAATCATACATACTAAAAGCAAAATTCGAGTTGATAAAAGAAGTTTAATCAAACTTCCAAAAATAGGATAAATACAGAAAAATCAAAAATACTATTTTAAAATACATTTTTACAAAAATTCATGTTTTTTAATAATGTTATTTACGATTATTAAACTCTTAATAGAAATATCAACATCACATTCCTAACTATACAATATTTTGTATACAATTTTTGTGTAAAATTTGTAACAAAACAACCCGCCATTTTTCAAAATTTTCTACTCTCACTCACAATCATACACACTAAAAGCCTTGAAATTTGCGTTGATAAAAGAAGATTAATCAAACTTTCAAAAATAGGATAAATACAGCAACATCATAAAAATACTATTTTAAAATACATTTTTACAAAAATTCATGT